AGGAGGATGCAACGATGAAAGGAGGGGCTAAAGTTTAACAGAGTAAAAGAGTATCTGCTGTGTATATGTATGTATGTATGTATGTATGTATGTATGTGTGATGTGGTATAAAAGCAGCGCCTCCCGCGTGGACTGCAATTACGTATGCACCTCTCCGAGAGAGGCAGCCCGTGGGCTTCGCGGTTGGCTGCGCTTCCTTCCTGTCTGCTGCAACCACCGTGCGTGCATTATGCATCCCGTTGCATGCGTCCATCTACCTTGTTTGTTTAGTATTTTTAACTTTTACTACTACTACACAATCATACACTCATATACATACACACTTCTACTATCATTTATCTAGTATTCTATTTTATTTTATTTTATTTCTTATTCTTTATCCACTTCCCCTTCTTCATCTTGTTTTTCACTTGTCATTTTCATTTTATTCAACCTAGATTAAGTTTTATTTCTTTTCTGTTTTTTTTTTATTTTTTTTTTTTTGTAAACGTAATCTTCTCTTTGTAATTTGTAATTAATAGATTAATATTAATATTTGAAAGAACTATGATCGAGTAATTAATCATTTTTACAAATAATAATAATAACTTTGTTATGCATATGATTGTAAACTTTGTTAAAATATTGGGTTGGCAAGTAAATGATTAAGAATTTTGTATAGGTGGCCTTTTAAAATCAGCAATGACTTAACCCATTGACTGGTAGGCATATTTAGAGTGTTAAATGTTGCCTTAAATTTTGAAAAATATAATAATATTAACACATTCCCGACCACTGACGTGAATTCACGTCTTTTCAAGTTCTATTCCTAATTACCGCTGACGTGAAATTCACGTCATTTTCAATTTGAAAAATTTAATATAAATACATTTTTATAATATTTAAATAATTCATAATTTTTGCCGTTACTCAGTATTAAAAAAAAACAAAATATGCCAGTCGCGAATTAGTTAAGTTACTGATACAATATTGTAATGATATTTACAATAATTGATTAATTAATGTTGTTTACATCATATAAATATTTTATTCAATCTTTTTAATCATTCTTAAACGCAAATAACCATTTGTAATTAATCTAAAATTGCAGCACACACTACGAGATATCTCTTAACATAGTTGACAGTCAATGGGTTAAATTGCCAACCCAATATTTATAACGTTAAATAATTCTCAAAGAAACGGAAATGGAGATTGAAACACGATGATAAAAAAGAAAAGAAAAGAAAAGAAAAAGAAAAATAAGAACTAACGTCTGATTTCTTGGAAATTAGACTCTCCGCGAAAAGAAAAAGAAAAAAAAAAGAAAAAAAAAATGGAAGGATTAACATAAGATTATCTGTAACCTCTTGTGTCTGGGTGTTTTGAAGCAAGTGCAAGCAAGCAAACAAGCAAGCAAGCAAGCAAGCAAGCTTGAAATCATGGAAATCATCTACAACTACTACTTCTTCTTCTTCTTTTCCTTCTTCTTCTTCTTCTTCTTCTCCAGTAAACATAAAAAGAATTAAGAATGAAAGAAAGAAAGAAAGAAAGAAGATTTGATTCCGATTAGGACGGTCGTTTTTTGGGCAAGGCGAGGTAACAGAGGACCGAGTATGATCCATGCACGTCGGCACGAATCAGGGATATCGCGTTCCAGGCCCTCGACGATCTAACCGGCTGGATCAAGTTTCCCCTTACCTCTTCTCACCCCACCCCACCCCACACCACCCCACCTAACCCTACCATCCTCCTCCTCCTTCTCCTCTTCTCTTCCACCACTTTTGCTTTTTCGTTACTTTTCTCTCTATCTTTTTTTATTTTGTCCGACAAATTCCTCCTCTTATTCTTCGTCTTCGTCTTCTTCTTCTTCTTCTTCTACTTCGTCATCTTTTCTTAGATTCGGAAAAAAAAAAAATTCTGATTCCGTACTTCATTTGAATTATTTTTAACCCCCTTTTTGAAATCCGAATTTATATATTTATTAATTATTATATTTATTAATTATATATATATTTTTTAAATAAATTTAAAATCTATTATAAAATATAATAATTTAAATATTAATATAATAAAATTAAATAATAAATCTAATATAAAAATATTAAATATATTATATAATATTAAAAATTTAAATATTAATATAATAAAATTAAATAATAAATCTAATATAAAAATATTAAATATATTATATAATATTAAAAATTTAAATATTAATATAATAAAATTAGATGACAAAAATTAAATAATATATTTAATATGAAAATTAAATATATTATAATATATAATAATTTAAATATATTTAAATATATTATAAAAATAAATTACATATGAATATATGTTTTTTAGTTAAATATAAAATACATGAAATATTCAATTTATGTTTAATTTTAGTAACACAACAAATAATTCATTCGATGTCCCCCACTTTTCATATTATAAATAAAATGAACAATTTTTTATTTGTCAAATTTATTCAAAGTATTAAAAGGAGTAAAAAAAGTAAAAAAATGAAAAAGAAAATGGATGATAAGAGTAAATATTCCAGGTGTTTTGATAACACGTAATTAACAAATGAACTAAAAGCTGAGAAGAGTCTTTCTCTCTCTCTCTTTCTCTCTCTATTTCTATCTCTTTCTCTCTCTCTCTCTCTTTTTCTATCTATCTCATTCTTTGTCTCTCTTTTTATCTCATGTTCTAGATGAAACATTAATATCTTAATTAGCGAGTACGAGAAGGGGACGCGACACCGGCACCGTTTCGTTGCAGCTGGTCGTTGAACCGAGACTTTTTTTCTATTCCCAACCCCTTAGGGGTTGAAACAACCAACCACCCACTTACCCAACCACCAACCAACTACTAGAGTATACACAAGCCCCAGTGAAAAAAGCTAGGTTCTCGTTCGCGTATCAACTCACATTCTATTCCTTCATCATTTTTTTTTTTTTTTTTTTTTTTAACACGATGCTTTTTATTTTATCATATTTTTTTTTGTACACTGTTAGATAGTTCGTTACGCCCGTAATTAGTAATTAAACAATTTACTTTTTTTTGGTTTTATTTTATTTTTTTCAATAATAAAACAAAAAATGTTTTATTATATTTAAAAATGTTTTATTATATTTAAAAATGTTTTATTATATTTAAAAATGTTTTATTATATTTAAAAATGTTAAAAAAAAATAAAACATTTGTTTCTTTTTTTTAAGTATATTTCAATATATATGAACAAAAAAAGAAAATTATAAAAATATATTTTTAATATTTGTTTTTTTTTTTTTTTTTTAAATATAAAAATATCACAAAATATTTCAATACATATGAACCAAAAAAAAAAAAACTATATATTAAATAGAACAAATATATAAAAAGTATATTTGTTCAATAATAAATACAATACTAATTGTTAGATATGTGAATTAATTTTGATATGAATGAAAAAAATACTCTCTATTACTATTATGATTGTTATTATTATTTTATTATTAGTATTCGTGTGAAAATAAAAAGAAAAAAGGTTTTTTAATAGCTATAACAATTTTCTCAACAACATAACAAATAGGTTGTTGTATGTATTAACTTATTACTTAGACACCTAATCAAAAGATTTCTTATTTCTTTTTTCTTTTTTTTTTTTCTTTTCTTCTTTTCTTATTAACCAGTAAAATGAAAACTTAACTATAATAAAGATATAAACTCTTGTTACACACGCGAGCTATCTTAAACATACGAGAAAAGAAATCACTATGAAAATAACGTTGTCAATTCCCAGTGAACTATCAGCAATATCCACTTGGATACACAATGTATAATTATGACATTATATGAATAATACATCAGGAGTTATTCAAGAACGTAGTTCTTCAACAAATATATTACAATAATTGTTCAATAGATTTCTGAATTATTACATGTTTGACACTCGTTTAATGTATCTTTTAAAATCAAAATAAAATCTATATATATATATTGAATATAATTCTAATGAAAATGGTGTACAAATTAAAACAATGATTTTGATTGAATTTACCAATGTACGATGATCAAATATCTCGAAATTATTTTCTATATTTTATATCTAAACTAATTCAACAAAATAAAATTAAAAACAAAAAAAAAAAATCACAAAATGATATTTGTATATTTAAAAAAATATTTAAATTAATTAACAGTTTCTATGATAAAAATAAATTAATACAAATATATACAAAAACTAAATCAGTGATATTTATTAAAGAAATACTAAAATTCCTATGATAAAAATATACAATTAGATAAATAAACATATATATATATATATATATAATAAAAAAGAAAAAATTCGCGATATTTATAAATATTAATAAAAATAATTTTAAATTTCTGTTTTTAAAGCAACCCTAAATAAAAATAAAGTTCATATTGGAATATGAAATTATTACCAAAATTTTGTACAAATTTTGATAATAATTTTGATTCTATTTACCAAAGTAACATAATAAAATTATCTTCATATTATTTTCTATATTTATAACATCTATTAATTCAATAAAATAAAATAAAAAAATAAAATAGATGCAAATTACACATTTTATGATATTTTATTATATGGTATTGATATTTTATATATTAAAAATATACTTAAAAATTAATTAACCAATTCCCATAATAAAAATACACAAATAAATAAATAAATGAAAATATACATAAAAAATAAACAAGAAAAAACCCTAAAAATATTTACAAACATTATTATTATTATTAATAATAATAATAATAATTAACATTAGAAACTCAAAAGTCCATTATTGCAAAAAACTAAATCCCACCAATTTATAAATAATCAAAAACAATAACCTAAAATTTAGGTTATTAAATATTATATATATATAAATTTATATAATTAATATAATATAAATTTAGGTTATTATAAATTAAAACTTTAACGCAACAACAACCCTTAACAAGAACAAAATAAAAAATAAAATAAAGAAAAATCGAATGAAACAAAAAAGAAAATAAAAGAAGATGGTCGTACTCACTGTGGGCGTAGTGCGCCGCCGCCGCGGCGGCAGGGTGGTGGGGGGTAGGTCCGGCATGGGGGTAGTAACCCCTGTAGTCGGTGGGATTGCCAACGACTCCGGCCACCCCAGCGGCTGCCGCCGAGGGCGGCTCCAGGGACGTTCGGGGTGGTTCGTACCATCTTGCTGCACTAGACTCGCTGCTCATATCCATCATGAAACTTGTCTTTTAGTTTTTTTTTTTTTTTTTTTTTTTTCTTTATATTCTAATAACTCTTATTATACTACTACTTCTTTTTCTTCTTCTTCTTCTTCTTCTTCTACAATATTTATTTTTCAATCTTCTCAAAACTTTTCGTTTTTATTCAAATTCCACCATCACCAACACCACCACACTACCCTCCTCCACTTTCTTTCTTTGAATTTTTAAGAAACCCTCAATTTCTTTTTTTTTAAATAATCAACACACTTGTTCTTTACGTTTTGTACGAATGTTCAATGATAAAACAAAAACAAAAAATATCAAATCAAAAATTAAAAACGGGAAGAAATATTTGCAAAATAAGAGAAAAAGAGAGAGAGAGTGTGAGAGAGTGAGTGAGAGAGAGAAGGAGAGATTTATTTAGGATGTATATGTGTAAAAAAAATAAAAGTAATAAAATAATAAATAAATATGTGTTGGTAATAATTAAAATAGAAGATAGTAGAAAATTTGGAATTAGGATAAGTCCCAATGACAACACGTCATCATCGTCTTTTTTCTCTCTTCCTCTTCTTTTTATCTCAATTTTGTTCTATATTATATTATACTTCGAGGGATTTATATTAATCCTTTATTTCATCCCCTGTAGATAGAAATTCATTTGATTTGATCAATCTTAATAGAAAAAGGGGTGTATTTGGTTAGTGTTATGTGGAGGAGGTTTTTCTTCTTCTTCTTCTTCTTTTTTTTTTTCTTTTTCTATTCGATGCTTCTCTGCCTCGGCGCACGCTGAAACAAACAAAAATTTCATTAAGTTGTGTATGAGGGATTTGGTGTTTGTGTAAATCATGATGTTTGATTCTATTTTATGGTTTGTCTCATTAAATTTTTAATTTAATTTTTTCGAAGAATTTAATGTCCAATTGTTTGAATAATTTTTCAACGTCTTTGTCTTACTTTTTTTTATTTTGTTGACGGGATAAAAACCCATTGGTAAATAAAAAAAAAAAATATATATATATATATATATATATATGAAAAAATACAAAGAAATGAATACAGTAAAATACGAAAAAAAAAAGTTGGTGAATAATAAAAAATATAAATGTGATAAACAAAGTTAGAAATATTGTATTGAAGTATTTAATATAGAATATTTGAGTATTGGAATTTGAGTATTTAATATAAAATAATTGAATATTTAATATAAAATATTTGAATATTGGAATTTGAGTATTTAATATAAAATAATTGAATATTTAATATAAAATATTTGAGTATTGGAATTCGAGTATTGTAATTTGAGTGTTTAATATAAAATATTTGAGTATTGGAATTTCAGTATTGTAATTTGAGTATGTAATATAAAATATTTGAGTATTGAAATTTGGGTATTATAAAATATTTGAGTGTATTGAAATTTGAGTATTTAATAGAAAATATTTTTCTATTGGTATATAACTAATAATATAAATTATTTGAATATTATGAAAATCTTTGCTAACAATTCTTCTTTTTTTTCTTGTTTTGTTTAATACAAATCTAAACTTTAAATATACAGATATTTTTACATGCATATGGTTTTTTTTTTTTTTTTAACACATCGAAAAATTGACACTTCAGAAAAAGGGGGATGAATTCTATTGAATAATTTTCAATCAATTAAACATCATTGATCATCATTTGAAAAATATTTTTTTGAACGTTTATTCTTCGTTCATTCGTTTAAATCTTTGTTTAAACGTTCACATTTGTTCCAATTGTATGTACGAACAAATAACATACGAGTATTTAAAATAAAAATAAATAAAAATAAAAAAGAACAATTTTATTATTTCTTGCAATAAACTTTCACAAACTTGTTTCCACATTTTTTTTTTCAATTTCTTCTACAACGAGTTTAAATTATTATAGTATAGGTATAGTTAATTTGAAGTAGTATCATGTACACATAGCTTTTTTTCTATTTGCATCTTTCTTCTTCTTCTTCCTATTCTACGACGGTTAGAAAGAGAAAAGAAACGTGTATCGTAAATTACATGTAACTCGATACGTGAGAATATCGATAGTCGTTTAAAGAGATACGCGAACAAATAAGATTTATAATCCCCCTTTATAGCCTAGTAGAAATAATTTGTCATAGTCTTTATGGACCTCCAACGCGTCGTCGTTGTCGTCATAGTTATAGTCATAGTAGTCTTATGGCAAACCATAGATAAAACTATACGATTACATTGTCAGTAAGAAACGTCAATCAGCCACCATAATTACGCACAGTTTAAATCTAAACGCGATACTTACATTATTATTATTATTATTATTTATATATTATTTATATATTATTTTTATTATATATATAATATATTTTAAATGAATAAATATAATTAAAATACTATATTATATATGTATTATAATTATATATAATATATATTATAATATTTTGCATTGTAATATATATATAAAATATTAATATATAAAATATAATATTTTATATTATTATAGTTATTTAAAATATAATAAAAATAATATTAAAAATATAGTATTATAAATATATATATATTATAAATTAAATATATTATATAATAAATAAAAATTTATTTATTATATATAAATAAAATATAATTATAAAATAATATATAAATAAAATATAATTATAAAATAATATTATACTAAAATATAATTTTAATATTAATTACACATAATATATAATATATAATTAATATAATTTTAATATTATAATTATATAATTTATATATATATAATTAAATAAATTTAGTATATATTATTTATTCTTTTATTATTATTATTATTATTATTTTATTAAAAAGATCTTTTTTTTAAATCATTTAATCATTAATACAATTGAAACACGTTTCGATAAAAATAAAAATAATAACGCAACCAAATTTATTCTATTACAAATTGATAATTAAAATTGTTGAATATATATTTTCTATAAAGATTAGAATATTGTAATAAGAAACTTACCACCAAAAGTAAGATAGGAAAATCTTGAAAATAATATTATAGGAACAACGACGAGAGTTAGAGATTTTGATAAAGGAAAAAAAAAATGGAAGATCTTTCGTTAATTACCACCTGATCAGTGCTTTAATAAGAACACACTGAGGTACTCGACGATAAAGTGGCACAAAACGATTTATCAATAAGCTCGTGGCCGATCAAGGTCATCGATGACGTAATCAAACCAGGGAAAAAGTAAGAGAGAGAAAGAAAAAAAGACAGAGAAGAAGAAAAAAAGAAAAGATTGTGCTATTTCGAAACGCTCACCATCCCCGTCCCCTTTAAAAATATCGAACCAATTCTTAACAACGATTTTCTTTAAGACTATACTAATCTTATAATATATGTATATGTATATTAATATAATTGCAATTTATTAGTGTTAATTTCAAAAATATAAATATTTAAAAATAAAAAAAAATTATAAAACAAAAATAAAAATATATTTCAAACTTAGCTGAAATATATTAAAATACAATTAAAATAAAAAATTTCTTATATACACAAACATCTATATTAATATATAATAATTATAAAAATTAAATTTAACAATAATACAAATTTATATTTTATAAAACTACTAGTGGTAGATAGTACTATAAAAAAAAAAATATAAAAAAAAAACTACATAAGAAAATATTTAAATAAAAATAATAACGACAAATAATAATATAATACGATTATAACTTGATAATAAATAATATAACACCATTATAATTATATAATAAATTAATTATTACTATATAACTTTAATTAATTAATTATATAATATAATATAAAAATATATGATATATATTATAAATATTTTATTCCACAAAAATAAAGAAAAAAAGTAAAGAAAGTGAAATACTCCATCATAGATAAAATCAATGAAATTAATTCCCCCACCCTTCCACCCCTCTTGGTACATATCATACTTTTTCTTTTTTTATTTTTAATTATTTTACTTTCTTTCTTTCTTCTTTTTTTTTTTTTTTTTCCTTATCGTTAGCAAAACTGGAGTCCACGAAAATTGTCCTCTCACCAATAAAAAAAAAAAAAAAAATAAAATAAAATAAAAAAAAAAGAGTAAAAGAGAGCAAATAAAATACTCGAAAACGATATAGCTGATAAGATAATGAGCCAAGGGACACTTCTCCTTGGATAAGATTACCGTTGCCGGAATGTACAGAACCATGTTTTATATATCCGACGATTGATTTTTGAACGAACCTAGCTTTTTTTTTTTATTCTCCTTTTTATTTTATTTTATTTTATTTTATTTTATTTTGTTTCATTTTAGTTCATTTCATTCGTCAGAGATTTCAAATGCGTATCACCAATTTGCGATTATTTCAAATGTATTATAATAATATACATATATAATACCTCTAGTAATACTACTCGTAGTATTTCTTCTTATCTAGCTAATAGCTTTTTTATTATTATTATTATTATTATTATTATTCATCTTATTTACATATAAAATTATTTAATCCGACGGTCAATTAAACACGACGATCCAGTTATATCGTGTTACGATCATCTATCAAATATACTACGAGTATATTTACATTCAATAAACGAAAGATAAAATATAAATCTATATATACATATACATACATACATATATATATATATATATATA